ATAGTGCTCCAAAGTTGATTGTCAATGGAGATGGTGTTACCTCAAGGTCCTTGTTTATGGTTCATCCATTAGTTTTGAGCAAGGATCAGGCAAAACTGGTGAAGGCTGATGAGGAAGTGATTCGTTTTGACCACCTTTGGAAGGACATCACTTCGAAGAGCTCAACAGCCAGGACTTCTGGAGAACCTCAACAAGATGAAGAAGATGACTCTGCTCATGTTGCTGAGCGTGAGATGACATGGTTCATTCAGAATGTCAGCAACCTGGTTCTCAACCCATGGATGGTATATGACATTGGCATGGTATCACTCCATGATCGTGTAGGAACACGTGTACTCCAGAGCACTGGAGAAGACGTGATTCTAGTGAGGGATTGGGACAGGTTGACAAGGCACCAGAGAGAATATTTTTGTAGAAGATACAAGTTGTTGCGTCCAAGTGTTTATGGAACAGAGGAGGACCCCAAGACGTATGCACCAAGTTTTGAACCTGGATTTTCTCAATGGATGGAGTTGGCACAAACTGGATACCAACAGTTTTTCTTCATCCGTGCTTGGGAGAATGGACGCCGTTGGGCTGAAATTCTGACAGACCATGGCATTGCTTCTGCAGAACTTTCAAGTTTCTTGGATATGTGCAGGGATCCCAAATTGCTGGGTTGGAACTTTGGTATCCCAGAACCTCAGTGGGATAATTTCGGCAACTCAGTGGAGGAAGCATTTAACAATCCATTATTTGCCAAACTGCACTATCGTTTCAAGCAGGAGGAAGAGATTGGCCGTGTCATGCACCTTTTGTCTGAACTTGTTTGTGACTTTTTCGTCAAGGTGCTTCCCAGGTGGGTTCTTAAGCATTCGATCTTGTGGGAAGAGTTTATGATCTTGGATCCACACACAAAGCTCCCTCTTTACAAGACTTCAGAGGCCGCCTTACAAGCAGAAGAGGATCCAGAGAAGTATCATACACATTTTAATATGAACTTCAAGAAATTCCGTTTTTCTGCAAGAATTGTGTGGTATTTGATTGACCGTGACAGGAATCACTTAGAGAGTTTTCTTCACAACTCCAACAGTAGATTTGTGCAACATGCATGCTATCAACTTCGTGAGTATGTTCAAGCGCGTGTTGCAGTTTCTGATCCCTTGTATGAGATGATCAAGAAGGAAGAGTTTGAACGCCAATACAATTCCAAGTTTTTGGAGGCGATTTCTTGCTCTCGTGTTGTAGTTGAGCCTGTAAGTTCAGGGACGTATGAGCCATCATCGAAGCTGAACTTAAAGGTACTACAAGACATCCTGAAGGGTATCTTCAAGATCCAGAAGGATGAGGAGCTTGCCAAAGAACGTGATGAAGAAGAAGAACAGGCAGCTCAAAACATCTCAAACTTGCTGGCAGATGATATGGAGCTTGATTTTGATGATGATAATGTTCCAGTATGGCGCTCCATTGTCGACAAGTATAGAGGAGGTGATCAGGTGCTACAGGGAGAAGCTGTGAAGATTACTCACCTGTTCAGGGATCAAAAGGACAATGAGAAGGCGACAGAAGCTTTCAGTTCAGAGAGGACAGATTTTTATGAGACCTCAGGACCTCTTCCAAGAACCATGGGAGAAAATCTTGTAGAGGACTTGCTCACCAAGGATGTTGCAGAACAAGCTTTTGATGCAGGTGAAGAAGTTCCTCCTTATACAAGAGTCTCCACTATCGCTGGTGGAATCTATACTGGAAGTAGGACACTTCTAGAAGATGAGAATATGGAAGAGGAAGTTCCTGAAGAAGATCCTGCAGTTGAACCTGAAAAGGAAGAAGAAATATTTGATGAGAATGCAGGTGTTTTTCCTTCAGAGGAACCAAAGATGGAAGTGGACCAGGAGGAAGCCAAGGAGGAGTCAACACCATACTTTCTGTCAAGAGAGATAGGTGAGGACTCGGCTGCATCGCACTTGCCATCAGGTGAGATGGATGCTAACCTTGATGATACTCCACGTCTGCCGAAATCTAAGAAAAGCCGCCTGAATAAATACCTGATCCTTATTTTCATGAAGAAGTTCAGGATGATGCAACCATGGAAGAGAAGAAAGAGGCGGTGGAGAAAATAAAAGAGGTCAGAGAGGATGATGGAGAGAAGAAATTGGAGGCTGAAATCCAGGAATCTTTTCCATCTGAAGTAATTGTTGAAAAGGATACAACAAAAGTTGACAATACCTATGAGTTGCATACTTCACCTTTGAAGTTGCTTGGAGAGCTTACAGGAGATCCAGGTATTGGCCTTTATCAACAATGCTTCAGGGAAACTCACGCAAGATTGCTGAATCATGTTTGTTTCAGAAAAGGTGAGATTTCCCATCCTCATTATCAGTCAAGGATCAACGAGAATGATTTTGTTCGATCCCTTCGTAATATCTGTCCAGTACCTCCACCTGATTGTTATGAACACGAACCAGAGCATGATTTGAAGAGATTCTTTATCAATGATGATCGCATCATTCATTTGGATGGCAAGTATCAGGTCGATCCAAAGGCCCTTGAAAGGGCAGAACATGCTCGAGAAGAATTGGAGGATACGAAGAAGGAACTTAAGAAGGAACTGGAATCATATGGTCCCAAGGGACCCAGTTGGGACTTTGTCACCTTCTATGAAGAGCTGTGCAGAAGGTTCCTCAAGGGAAGAATAGAAGAACCATATGGAACTAACTTATTGGCCAGCTCAGAGTCCTTGACATTTTTATCCTGGAACTATGGCAACATGGTTCGTGGTCAGAAGTACACCACAACAAGGTTTCTCCAAGGACTTGATAGTGCAATGAGGCCACGCAAACAGAGCGCCATGTCACTTCAGAATGAGCAATTTGAGAACAACCTTTTCTTCAACATGCTCTTCTTCTTACGTGCACATGTCGTGATTCTCCAGGAAGCTCATCTTCTTGTTCCTGCCAAGGAATTTATTGAGCAAAAGAATTGGACAGTTTGTTTCAATGATTGGGAGAATCTTGCAGTGATGGCTAGATTGGCACCAGGTGGATATGTCAAGATCATTGCTGGACATGATCAAGAACTTGGTCACTGTGAACAGCGTGATGTAACTTGGGCTATCTACGAGATTTGTTTTGGAGAAACAAGGCCTCGTCAAGATTTCAAGGATGCAGACTTTGAATTTGATGACTATGGTCCTGAGGACAAGCGTGTTCCACTTACTCGAGCGAACATGCATACCATCAGAGTCTGTAATTATCATGTTGATACACACCGTGCTGTGGATGCCCACCTACTGACAGGAGAACAGACAGCATTGATGCTTTACGAGTGTTTTGTTTATGAGGTGGACATCATTTCTGGTGATGCAAATAGTTTGGCCTACAGAATGTCTGGGTACAAAAGGCAGCCAATGGCTAACTACTATTACAGCACCATGCAGCATTGGATCCGCAGGTTTTCAGAAGCTCGTGTAAAAGCAGATCCTGGTATCAAAGCACCTATTCCCAGAACATTTTACAGTTCAACTTCACAGGTCCTCAAGAAGTGTGAAGTTTACTTTGATAAACTCTGGGAAGAATATTCTACTGTTGAAAAAGAAGAATACCAAGGATCACAGCTTGGCGATACATGTTTGTCTACCATTGTTGAATGGGGTCATTCAATGAGTGAAGAGGAATATGAAAATTCCACAGTGAGCACGAAGGAGTTCATCTGTAATTTTTCAGAGAACTTTGCTATGATTGACACGGAGGTTATGTGCTCAAGACCCTCTGACGAGGACAGTCATGGTCCAATGTTTATTTCACTCAGACCAGCTTCCTTTTCATCTGGAGACAGAAGACAGTATCGCATGGGAGCAACTCTTCATGAGGCGAACTTGCGGAGGAAGGAGAGACAGAAGCAGAATAGAAAGAAAGGAAGGCCGCCAACTTCTGATCAAGCAGCTTCATCGTCTGCAGCGGCATAATTCCTGAGCGAAGGCTGAAATTTAAATGATGGCTAGGAAGTGAAGATACTTCTGGTTACAGTTGATACTTTGCTTCCAAGCTTGACTTTAAGTTGCCGGGCTGAAGTTTTAAACTTTAGCAGGTAGATATGGACAGTTTTACATAACTGATGATATCTATCACCACCGCTCTTATGAAGTGACCTCTAATGGACAACCAGTCATGGTTGATGATTAAGTCATTTCATGATTTGCAATTGTAGTGCAAGATTTTTTTTGTACATACATTTGCCGGTATCTCCTTCTTGTGTTTTTGATGTGAATGTGAAAGAGAGTCCTTTTGATGCAGTTTTATTTTGTCTGTGGATGAAAGCGGTCGAGACCACGTCACGAGAAGATTATTCCTCGGACCGTACGCTCCTTGCATTTTGCAAGGCATTTTAATTAATTGCATTTGTGCGGTCTTGAGTTTTTGTTTCCTTGTTACGCGAGTGTCGTTTGATTCTTTTATAGGTCTCTGTAGAGAAAAAGCCGCTTTCCCTTTTTAGTTTGATTTAGCTCAGGCCATAAAGAGCTAGTGAGCGCCGGTACATGGTATCTCCGCCTGTGAAAAATACAGTCTCCAGCCGAGGTACATTATCGTTTTGATTTTGTACTTGAGGTGAGTCAGCTATTGCTCCCTCACTGTATTTAGTAGCTTTGAGATTACCTTCTCTATAGTGTGAAACACACTGGATTAGGTAAGTACATGGCACCGTAGTTTTCTTTTAAGTTGCTAGAGCTAGCTGGACTGTTTTAGCCTTGCAGTAGAAAAAGAGTGTGCGACATACGCAATCAGCTAGGAGTGGACATGAATCTTGCGCCTGCTGAAAAGTAGAGCCTACCTGTACAGGGTTCCACTCCAACAGCCGATATAGTGTGTCCATACTTGACTGCTTCAAGGCTCAAAGAGCAAGAGGATAAGACTCTGCGCATAAAAGACACTAGCGGTCTGCACCTCTACCGTGTACGCCCTAGTCACTCTTTCACCCCCCCCGGGCGCTCGCGCGCGCCGCGCGCGTCGGCGGCGATCGGGCACCTGAAGCTCCAGGACCCGGCAGGCCGAAGACCAGCCCTCGCTGCTGGAGGGTCTCAACTCCACCTGGCGGGGCGCGCCAAGTCGGACATGACGACCCCGGCGAAGCGGCCACGGCCAAGACATCGGCAAGCGAACGGACGTGAAGGCCTGGGGCGCTCAAAAGAAGATTAAAACAGATTTGACGTCTGTTTTGGTAGGAAAAGACCATGTTTTGGGGGGTTGGTGGTCCAACCTTAGAGGTCATTCAGGTTCTAGGTCACTATGGAGCGCGAATAAGCTGCATTTCATCTCCATACCACAGCCTGTCAGGTACCCTTCAGCCATCGGGGTGGCAAAGTGGAATAAATGCACCAAAGGAAAGAACCTCCAACTTCACTCCTCTCCACTTCCGCACTCAGTCCCTGCCCGGCCTGCCACTCGCTAAAGCTACAGTTCCGTGAAGCATTCGCACTCGCATCCACCCAGGCAACCGCAAGGCTCGAGACGCCCAACGCAGTGGCCATCACAGACCTGGCAGCGATTTCGTGCCACTGACCCGCGCAGAGCGCCCAGGAGGGAGACTCAAACAAAGTCACCAAGCGCCAAGCGCTACTACTGCAGTGGGTATGGGGGGAGCTCCTGAGGACTACAGCAGCAAATATAGAGGCGGCAAGGAAGCTTGTAAGGGCCTGTAGGGACTTAAGGCTATGGCGAAGCCGAAGACATGTTTGCGAACCATGTGCGAAGCATTGCGAAGCACTGGCAGGGTTTTTTGATGAATTTTTGTGTTGTTTGTGGAGAGTTGCTTGCTGATTTCAATATTGTTCCGCACTGCAAATTAAGCGCGCCCGCGGCCACAGCTGAAAGATGACCATCGCCTGGCATCTACTTGAACCATTGTTACAAACTGAAGAGTTTACAAAACCAGCTCAACCGTTTGTTTAAATGGTCTTCTGGCTAGCGACTACCGTTCCCACATCGTCTCCCCATGTAACCTTCCCGGCCTTGGAGCCGGCGCTTGTTTCAAGCAAAGTTCCCCCACATCCGTGGTGAAACTGACCTGCACAGCGTTGGAGCCGGACCTTTTTGGAGCCGAATCCAAAGCATGAAGGTCCGAGCCTCAAAGAAGGATACCTTTATTTGGAGTGGAACAGAAAGGAAGTCAGCTACCGCAAAAGAAAGGAACACAACTATAAGCGAACCACGAGTAGGGGCGGCAAAATGGCCTCTATGCAGGCAGATTCTGGACAAATTTGTTTGGGCCTTCAATTGTTCTGGGTCTTTTCCATCCGCGCTCGGTCTGTAGCAACCTCCGGTGGGCGATTGGATGCGCTTGGTTTCCGAACAATTTCTTTTTTGTGGGCCTCTCAGCCTCTCGCCTCTCACCACTCGAGTTCACAGTTTCCTTACAGTCAACATCAACATGTCCTTACCTCGGCCCGTTCTTGGTTCGCACCTTTCCTCTATACCTCATCAATCGCCACGTCCAGCTGCACATAGATGCTTGTACTACATGCAAGTACGACTGCAAACACCACAGCCTCCTGGCAACCCCGCCTCTCGGTCAGTAAGAGGAGGGTTGCTGGAGGTTATTGAAATACTGCTGGCCCTTGCAAAGCGCCGACCTGTTTTTGGGTGAGAGCCTTGAATCAAAAGCTGGGGGCTTCCACCTTGGCTGCCCGACCGTCGCAAAGGGCCCGCTGGCGAGAGGGTTGGTGCAATTGGCAGCCACCCGCACTTCGTAGTTGCTGTCGCAGTTGAGACCTTGCAAGCCTCAGTGCATAGGGAAGCTTCGCGCAAGAAGACTTGATTGCCCTCCCACAGATCTGTCAAGCCCAATGACGCGTGTGCCCACGCAGGTGCGCAGCCGCCCTTCACAGCACTAGACGCTCGACACAGCACGGGCCTCAAGCTTCAAGTAAGCCAGCAGTCGTGAGAGAAGGCCGCACTATAAATGCGTGAGTTCACAGCAAGCGCAGCCAATGGGTACGACTTCCAGCCTTGACACCGGCATGTCGACCCACTGAAGAAGCCTGGCTGCTTATGTCCCCCAGCCTCCAGTCCCCACGCACATGGTCTGGAAACGCATGCTGGGGCACTCAGGGAAATACAACCTAGTCGCCTGCGACAGTTGCAACCACGCACATTGCATGGAACGTGTCTGACTATCTCAAGGTCATTGTATAGCCCTTTTTCATTAACCTCGATCATGCGAGAAAATTCGACTGCAAACTCCTACACGGAATCAGTGCCGATGTGCATGTTCCCTGATGTGTAAGCAAAAATGAAGACCGAAAACCCAAGAATTGAGCGAATGTACACCCCGGGACTCGAATTGCAAAAACGATGTCAAACCCAAATATGAACCATATGGGGAAATAAGCCCAGCATTCTCAGGGGGGTATTGGCACCTTATCAAAACCAGAGGTTGTGTATGTGTCACCATGAGCCGAGACTATACAAATGCCTGTGATTGAAGAAGGTACAACAAAGGTATGCCCACCGAACGTCTTGCAAGTGGAGCGGGAGTGTGGCAAATAGTCGACATGTCAACAGAGTTCAGCTGGGGGCACATGATCGTCGCTTGCAGGTCACTTGGTGAGTTTATCCACCTGTCGCGTACGTCCGTGCAGTTCAGGAGAGTCCTTTGCATCTTCGTCGTTGCGAAAGCACTGAATACAGTAGTTCCACAGCTTGGTTACAGCCACCAGGACTATCTATCGCCGATCCACCGGGAGACTTGCTGATTCCTCTACGCCTGGATCCGGAGGCAGACGCTACCGTGAATCCTGGATCGATCGAGGCTGAAGGAGGCGTTAACCCCCTGGCATCCTGAAAGGAAAGCCGCCACCTTTAAACATATATATATATGTATTATATACTGTAATATATTTTAAACATCTATATAGAACATAGACACACCCGCAAACCCATCTCCAAACGAAGAAAAAATGAAGACTTCGGATCAAACCACATCTCACACATGTGGTTCGAAGGTCGGACTACATACTTACCGGGATGGTCTCTCATCGTCAAGACGGGGCGACCTGAAACCCGGGCTCATCTCGACTGAAATCGGTGCCCAGCAGGGGGAGTTGAAGCTTTGTTGAACTCCTATATATATCTGGAACCCAATCATTGTAATCATTTGACCTCTATTTTGGACCATCAACCACCCAAAATATGGTCTTTTCGTATCAAAACAGGCGTCAAATGGGTTCCAGGTATAGATATTATATATATATATATGTGTGACATGTGTCCTCCGAAATAGTAAAACTGTTTAAACACACTCTTGGTGAGACAGACCTTTCCATACCTCCACATCAAAAAGCGAGCTTCGCCTCCCTTTGGCTGCCTCACCGGCCTGACCGCCGCCTGGGCCTCGCCTCTTCCAAGTCAATCCATGGGCCCCATGAGCTATGCTTCGGTCCAAACCACCTTTCACCCACTTCCTGCCTGTTCGGTCGACCGAGTCCGCATGGTTGCGCGCTTCCGACAACGAGTCCGAGATTCTCGCCCCGAAGTTCGCACGGTCGGTCCCTTGTCCGGTCATAGACCTCATGTTACTCGAGATGGTCATACAAAAAGAAAAACAGGTACAAGACAAGGTCTTTCCGGGTCAGACTGGACATACGTAGGATGTTGATCCCCTTTTCATCCCCTTGTACACCTTTTCGGAAGCTGCCCTATAGAAGTTCGACACCGAAAAGCCGAAGTCCAGTGTGCACATGGCGAGACGAACGTTCTGTTCAGGTGTGAAACCCGGTCCGTCCAAATCAATCTCTCAAACACAAATCGTCTCTGACTCCCAGGGTATTGCCTTCCCTCTTCGTCATGTCGTCTTCGGTCTTCGATCGAACGGAAAAAGGCATCCCGGACCACACCCACCGAGCAGCTGCAGGGGGGCGTGGTGCTCGGGCCACAGCTACCACTGGGCAGCGCCCAGGTACCAAACACCTCACGGAGCTCCACGGTGTAGGCAGCCAAGGCCTGGAATGCTCCACAGTGCGGTACTTTGGGATGATGGTCCAGGTGAAGGCCACGTCACGAAGCCTTTCAGAAGGTGAGATACTTTGTGGGTTTTCGTCCAGGGGCGAACTTTTCGAGGATGGTGGGAGGATGCTGGTTTGGGGGATGCTTTTGTGCATGGTTTGGAAACTTTTGGATGTAGTTCTCTTGATGTTCACTATACGGTTCTCCATATGGAAGTCTTGTTGTTTTGGTTCGTTGATCCTTCCTTCCTCTCGGTGTTCGCAGTTTCCCTCATCACATCATCCTCGGGCTCGCCCTCTTCGTCCGCTTGGACTCTTGGCACCGGACAACGGGTGTTTCAAGGTGGCGCCACCCGTCGCGCTGGTTTTTAGGTTCCAGGTGATGCGGACATGTGTTCCTGTGCTCTTTCTGATACCACCAGATGAGTCTGGGAGTCTGGGTCTAGTTCTAATCCACGTGGTCCCTGCTCCCAGGCTTGCTAAACTTCCAGGTGGTGGACTGAAAACACGGCTAAACTCACCTTCCGATGCGCGATTCAGTGAATCTGGCGTGGGATTTCTTGGCTGCCATGGGGGCCGACAGAATTTTTTCACCTTCGGCTCCAAGCACCCTAGCACCTCGACCATCTCTACCTCTCTCACGTATTTTTTTCCAAATCTTCGATTCGGATGGTTGCCCGAAGCTGGCAACTCTCCGGCGCGGGTGAGATCTCGGCCGAGTCTCGCAATCATTTAGGGCCGGTGGTGTCCAGGACAAAGTGCCACCTGCGTAGTGCTGCGCCACGCGTGGTGCTGAGTTGACGATGAAGGTGAAGGTATAGCTCAATGAACTTTCGCTGAGGTTCACCGAACATCACATGGATAAACACACAAACGAACCCTTCTATAGGTTAAGGAATGTCAAGGATGTATCATCTACTTCACCAGCCTTGGACTGCTGAACTGAACTGTTCGTGTTTGAGGAGAGTCATGTAGGATCTTGATTGATGAACCTTTTTATATATATATATATAGGATCTGGTGTTTGAATCCCAATAGCGAGGGGCCTATAAATCAAGATCTTGCATGATCCTCCAAGAAAGACTGCCGCTTCCCGACCCGATAACCACACCACCCGCGGTCCGCGCACCGGTCCGTCGCCGCCTCCGGTGAAGATCTCGGAGAGGCTCAACTGGACGACAGCACCCGCCGGCACCTGAACAACGCGACCGAGATGAAAGGTCACCACCTGGCCCGATGGATCCATCGAACCTGAGAAGGTGAATGGAGACTTATGTAGACCAGGAGGTTGAAAGGAACGTGTTCCGTAAAGGACCAGAAAAGCATTGAGTCGAGCTAGCTTAGTGTGTATCCCGGTTTTTTTCAGTCGAGAACTTTTGTGGGGAATCAGTCTTTCCGGATCCTTTGTTCATCCTTGACCTCTTCGGGGATGTAGCTGTGGGTCCCACCAGGGGACGGACCGGTTTACCCACCGAACATGAACAGAATAGACGACCTATGGGTCCTTACAGATCCAGTGCCAACGGGGAGGGTCGGACGTTTCGGGGATCTTCCAAAAACAAGAGTTGAGCGCCGTGCCGGAGATCCGGAGATCCACCATCTCCGTGGACACCCACTGCTTTAAGCGCTTACCAGCGGCCCTCAAGCCCATGAACAATAAAGGTGTTCATCTACAAAAGCCATGTTTTTGGCAAAGACCATCAAAAACCCAATTTTTTGGTGCCTTGTGGGGTTGTGGTATAGGAGGAAAAAACACCTATATACTATAAGGGTACATAGCGTTGAAGCTTCACGATTCGCCGCAGCCCTTTATGACCTCTATACGAGACTGCGCCACTTTGTGGGTTCAGCTCGCGCATCATGTCGGAGGATGCTGTGGCCACCAAGTTTGTTGAACCACCTCGCACGCGTGGGGCTGCGGCAGACCAGCTACCTGCGTTCCGCGACGCAAGGAGTCTACGAAGCAGATTCGCAAAAAGGCAAGTGCAAGTGTCATTGTATAAGAAGAAATGATGCGTCTAACTGACATGGGTGAGACACGTCCTCATGGCCGCTACATGACTTCTCACTCCCGCTGCCAGGTTCGTCGCAAATCTCGTCTCATGCAAAAAGGCATCGGTCTAAGCCAGGCGAGCTAGCCTGGCTTTTGGCTCTTCGCGCAAGCCCGGAGTGAGACAACTGCGCGGAGGCAATGTCTTTTGAGCAGGAGCACCGAAGGTGCCAGTCCATGGTTTACAAATCAAAGGGAGAACAATCGTAGCAGAATCTTCTACGAAATGCAAGCGCTAGAGTTGCAAGTCCGTCACGGTTTGCGAACCAGCTCTGACAGCTCAATGCGAACCCAAACCCGGAACATATGTCTTAGACAAGATGTACTCAAAAAACACGCCCAGGCCGCTTGCTGGGGCCTGTCAATTGGAAGAGACTAGACCAGGGTGCAACGGCACTGGACTTTTGTGGTAAATCATAGAGGGAGGGAACAATTTCGCTTCAGAATCTTGAAAGTCACATCCTGCGGCTGGGCTGTCGGCGGGTGTGGCAACTGACAGTGGCCGGCAGCTGTGGCTGCGGCGGTGTCGGGGTAGGTGCCTGTGGGAGAGGCTGGGTGTCACGAGCAAGAGTTTGGGTTGGATTGTTGCACATGCGCCGCAGCTGGGGACCACCCTTGTCTTTCTATCCTTGTGTCCTCCTCCTGTCTCTCGCCTCTTTTCGTTCTTGCTCGCTTCTCCCCATGTTGGTGTTTCCCTGCGCGTTGCCCCGCGCAGGTGCCTACATCATCCTACATCGACGTGGAGCTCGACGCGCAGAGGCTTCTTGGCTTGTTGTTGCCGTTGTTTTTGTTGCTGCTGTTGTCGTTGTTGCTGCTGCCGCTGCTATCATTGTCGTTGTTGTTGTTGCTGCTCTCCTTTGTTTTCTATTTTGCTGTTTCGGTGTCTTTTAATGTCCTCTCTCTCTCTCTCTCTGTCTTTTTCTCTCTTGTTGGTTTGTTTGTTTTGGATCTGTGTCTCTGTCTTTGCCTCTAAGTCTTGTTGCTGCCTGTCTTTCTGTCAGCAGCAGATTTTTGGACTGGCCGCACTGACTGTGACCATTTTCCATGAGTCTTGTTGGTGGCAGAATTGCCGTCGATGTCACCCAAGCTGCCTGCGACAGTTCTTTAATCAGCCTCACACTGGTGATGAAAATTGGTCAATGACACATTCTTCTTCAGAAACGGTTCACAGGACATGTGCGGGCTGTCGACCTTGTTTTCTCGTAATTAGGCACGTGCGCGTGGCTCGAAGCCATGAAGCGACGTAGGTTGCTGTCAAAGCAGAGGCGTCCTCCAGCCCTTGTGAAATCCCACCGCATAGTGCTAGTGCAGCTGTTCAAGTTGCTGAAGCACAGGCAGGTGCGGAGCCCGGGCCTGAAAGCATTGATGCTGCAAGCGCAGCACTTGATGTTGTGGAGAGCGATCAACATGAAAGTGCAGATCTTCCTGCTTGGCAGTTGCTCGGCAAGTCCAAAACAGTGAGGGTTTTAGTGGAAGCTGTGATTTGAGAGAAACAGATGCATCCATCAAGGTTGTTTTGGACGCTGTTTTGGCAAGGACTGCTGGCAATGTCACCATGGCGGATCTTGTACAGGAGAGAGACGAGTTCATAGCAGCCACTATGGCCGCGGTGCCCAGAGAGCTTTGGTGGCTGCTGTAAAGAAGCCACACCTTGCCTCTGGGCAGCCCACCAAATAGATTCACAATTCACAATCTGTGCAGAAGACCCAACCTGGATCCATCCAATGCCCCCGCAAGGGAAGACATCTTGCAGATTGTTTTGCCTGCATGTGACGCTGCAGCTGCTGTCACACACGCAAGTGTTTTCCGTGAGCCGCATGGCAGTGGACGGTGGCATTTTCATGTGGCCACGGCGCTATCAGAGCCGTCGCTGGGTTGGAGGGAAAAAGGAACTAGTGAAAGCTGGTTATGTACCGCACTTTGCAAACATGGCTTTGGATTGATGATCATAGCAGGCACCCCAAAATGCAGTATGCCCACATGTTGCAGTGCCTTTGGTTGCCGAGTGAGAAGAAAGGTTTGTCAGATTTGTCAGGCGTGGACAAAGACCCATTGTTGTGGTGCTCTGGGGTTCGGCAGCGCCCGCAACCGCCATCTTCTGGATGCGATCAATGGCACGTTGGACAGTGCTGCAATTGAAGAGAAAGATGCAGAGTGTTTTTTGCAGCGTTATGCTGCCGGCAAGCGTGGGCCGTGCAAGTCCTCTGACTTGGAGCTGTGGCCGATTGTAAGTAACTTGCTGTGCAACGAGAGGACCCCCTTTTTCTGCAGGCCTTTGTATGTCCGCACAGTTGCCCTTCATCAACGCCATTTTTGACTAGAATCTAACGAGCTGCTTAAGCAGCCTCGGCAGCCGCCATCGCATCGGCGTCCGGCTGCTCCAGCGCGGCAGCGCTTACGGCTGCTCCGCGCTTCCAACGGAGTTGCTTGGGCATCTGGAACCATGAAGGTCACACGTCTCCAAAGTGCAACACATCTCCACCTTCTGTCCGATTTGGCCACCGTTGCTTAAGAGGTAGGTCAAGAGATGCTCGTTGCCCGAATCACGGCCGTGCTGCGAGACGCTGATTGTTTTGCTAACCCTGGCAATGAATGGAAGAGTTTCATGTTGAAACCACTTTCGCTGATACTTCCACGCATGCCGCAGTGAAGCTTTTTTCTGCAAATGTTTGTTAATGTTTGGCCACGTCGACGTTGGTGTTTGGGGTCAATTAATGATGGAGCGATTTGATGATATTTCCCTCAAAATCAACAACGCCTCCGATTTGCTCACATGGTGTGTTCTTTCTTTTGTCTCCCTTTGTTGGGTTCTCTAAGATGTTCTCTACCTTTTAGCCTACTATGTGTTCCGACTTGTTCCAGGGTCGGCGTGACATCCTTGTAGCCAAGGTTTTCTCATCTCCAGCTCGAGGTTCCCATCCTCTATTAGACTTGAAATGTGTTATTCTCGATCGCTTGAGACCTGATTGTAGTGTTTTGGAAGTATCTTCTTGCTTGCTGTGGCTGGAAAGAGGCACGCTACGCATCAACCGGCCGTTGAATTTATATAGTGGCCACATGGAGGATCAACCGAGACAGCCCACATGCATAATGTGTAACTGGCAAGCTTTGCACATCCCTCGAGGGGGTTGGTCAGAGAGCGAATTGCTCATGCTGCGGACTCGACTCACGATGTTTACTTTTCCGGTATAGAATCCAAGCTTTGAAGGACATCCCAGCATGTCAACGCTGTTTTGCTATGTTCGTGGTATCACGTGAGAGGAACATCGTTAAATTTGTTGATGCAGGGTTCCCACGTATTTAGCCTGCAACTTCACTGCTCCTTCAATGGTGTTGTATATGCCTCTGACTCAGTATACTTAACCAAGCAGGAGTGAAAAAATATACAGACCCCCGAATCAAAGTTGCGCTACACATTGCCATGCTTATCTCATCGCGGCCAGTAAAGCAATTGGATGCAAACAAGTCCGCGAACCGAGAAAAAGCAACCTTGACTTAGAGGGGTGTCGGGGGAGGTGCTGGGTTACGGAAAAGGGGCCCTAAGTTTGCAGACATGCCCGGCGTCGCAGTTGTGGCCCCTGCTTGTATACTTTCGTGTGTGGTGGAAGAGATACTCTTTCAATGCGCCCAAGCCTCTCAAAATATGCCTCGAGGCTTCTGCCCTTCGTCTTCCCATCTATCCCCACACTCCATGTATGCCATACTATATGGGGCCTATATAATATAGGGGCCCTAAAGTTGGCATATATTCCAAACATGGAGTCTTTGGGTGATGGTGTCAGAGATTCCACCCTTGTCCGGTCCCGGAATGCAGCAACAATGCTGCTGCTCCATGACACCACGGCACTGGCAAGGTCTGGAAGCTCGCAGACGTCCAGTCCGACTCGGCCTCTGCTTGAGTACACGAGACCCTCACCTGGGGCTGGCGCAGCGAGCTGAGCGCAGTGCCACGAGCGCTACTCGTGGGAGGGCGTGGTAGTGTGGCTTCTCTTTGGGAGAGGGACGTGTTGGCAAAGGTCAGGACATGAAGCAGAAACCAAGCCTCTCAGAATTGCATGAATGCAACGAGTTTCCACGACCATTGCTTCTCTCTATACAAGCAAACTCAGCTCCACGCCCTCAAACCATTAGCCCTCAAACCTGCCTACCACTGGCGTCTCGGCCTCCACGTCGATCTGCGCGTTCGAGGGAAGGCCATTCGCCGTGCAGGTGCTCTCACAACTGCTGCTGAAGAAGCTGCAGCCCGTGGAGCTCGACCAGTTGCCTTCGCCGCTGAACATCGGAACAGTCGGCGGTTTTCTCGCTGAACATCGGTGGATGGTGAACTTCGGGAGAAGGGCGTGACCCTCCTGGGACCTCTGTCCGCGTTTGGGGGGGGGCGAGTTAGTGGGGCCAAGCCTCCAAGGAGAGTGGTGGTGCGAACCAGAGTCTGACGAATCATGCGTTTGAGCACCCTGCGGGAGTGGAGTCTTCTTTAGGGAGAGAACCCTTGAAATATCACCTTCCAGGGGCCCCACAAACCATCCAAGTGTTCCCTAGCAAAAAACATTGTTTTTGTATGTGAAAACCTTTGTTTTTCATGGTTTTGAGGGGTCCTGGTTGGGGGTAGACTGGTCGACTTCTCTTCGAGCCCAGCAGGTCGTTGCCTGGCAAGCTCTGTTGCCCCAAGGACCGCCTCTGATTGGAGATAGGTCCAAGTGCCATCAGCCGAAGTCTCAACCTGGCCTTGCTCAGGCAAGGTAGAGTTTCCGGGAGCATTCTAAACCGCACCCAGGTCCACGATGGGGAGCGGATGTGTTGCTTCCTCGAAGAAATCCGCCAGCTCTCCCCAAGTTCGCTCCCCACCTCCTTCCAGCTCTGCCAATCCCGGCCAGTCGTGCCTCCTTCGCGTTGACGCCACCGAAGCACATAACCCTGTGCTGCGCTCGTGTCGGCGTGGGGACGTGTAGGATGAAAGAGTTTCTTGCAAGCGGGCCCCAGGTAGGTCTGGGAAGAGAAAGACAACGGATCTGGGAGCTGTTGCCATGTCTGCTGTGTGGCTGTGCAAGAGCAGGGAAAACAAAGACAAGACCCTGCCTGACAGGCAATATAAATTAAATATAATTAATCCACTAAGTGTTGGTCAGTTTGTTATCATGGATTTGGGGTGTGTGCCTTACCACCGTGTAAGCTTTGTGCTACACCATGGCTTCTTGCGCTTTTTGCAGGGTGCTCATGAGATCTCACCGCTGGGCTGTCATGGGCTGTTGGCTCCTCGTCTAATCGATCACGGCCACGGACGCCCCGAAGGATGCAGATCAAGGATGGGGGGAACCGTGTTGGCTAGAACGGTCCTATACTGCTCCTAGCATGCTCCCCAACGACCACTCCACATCACCACTCCACAACCAGCTGTTTTCGCTGTCCATGCATCTGACCTGGAAGTGGCAGTCGTTCAGCTGTGGTACGTCCCACTGTATGGTCACGCTGCTGCTGGTGGCCTCGCTGGCCCTCAGCCCGCTCGGCGCCTGAGGCACAGGCGCACGCAGCTCACGAGATGCGCGCGGATGTGCGCGCAGCCGACGAGGAACTGGAGTGGAAGGACCCCCACCCGCATTTGGGTTCTAAAACCTCGATCATATATGTGGTGTTAAACCGGACCGTCTGCATTAAACCCTGCGGACAGGACGGTTTAATAAAGACCGGAAGAAGATCCCACAGGGTTGAGATGGTTGAGACCCCCAAAAAGGGGGATGGACAAAACAAAAAAAACAACCACATGCATGGTTATCCATGGTTTGGACATAATCAGATTTGATGCGATCCCACTCCAGTCGTGGCATCTACACTGAGATCATTTCTCTATAGTTCAACGCTGTCAACTCATCCAGAAACCGGTACTCTCCACAAAGCAGCGGTACTCTCCACATCCGCTTTCAGCCACTTTCACCCACTCCAGCGACTGGTTGACCCATCCACCTGAGCCAAAAAGTGCCATCCTTTCGGGTTCCCCAACAGGGTGGAAATTCCAACTGCTTCCCACCAGAGTCTCCCACCAGGTGTTCGAACCCGGAACCCCCAGGGATAAGCGGTGCGCACCCATCCGTCGAAAACATGCTCTCGTCACTCGTCCAAATCCATCCGTCTCGAGACGGCCTGAGCAGGCACCAGCAAGGTGCTGATGGGCACCGACGTCACCGCCCAGTCGCTGCTGGACGTGCTCTCCTGGCACCTCGCCGTCAGCGACACGGCCGACGGGACGCCGGAACAAGAAGGACGGGCGGAGGAGACGCTCTAGGAACATGTGGTGTGGTGTTTACATTGATTTGTTCTTCCAATGGCCAGAGACTTGTTGCGATTTCTATACCGGATCTTCTGCCAGGACCTTCCAAGAGGTGTCTATAAATAGCCTTCTAGTGGTTAAGGGGTTTCCAGAAACCACCTGTTGGAAGGTGCTGGTAGTAAATGTGAAGAGTCTTCCTTGTTGCGCCGACGATTTCATCGTGGCGACCTGTTTCATGGTTGCGAAACCACACCCGGCGGTTCGGCGAGGTCTCTCCTTCGTCATCGAGGTCTCTTGGGGAGACCACCCACTCGGGACTCGGCCAAGTTGGACCATCCACCTGGGCCCCTGGCGGAGTTGCAAAAAGAACCTACACTAGGCGGGCTCCTGGTCGTCCCACATGCGAAGGTAGGACCAGAAGCCCAAGAACCTACCCCAACCACCTCAGGGGCTGGTTGGAGCCCTCCAGTAAGAGTGAAGCCACACTTCATCCAAGATCACGAATCCGTCGGCAGCGCATCCGGAGGCCGAGAAACGGCGGGTTGCGACAGGTTTCACCTCTGTGCCTTTGGACACCTGGCGACGTCGTATACACTTTGGACACCCCCTACGCCGTTCCTCTCAGGATCCCACCTCCAAAAACCCATCCCATGGTCGACCAGAGTGGTATGACCCGTCTTCAGGGACAACCCTCTCCCGGATTCCACGACCGACCGGTCTCTGAGCCGGAAGATGAGCCCGACCGTCGGTGTCTGGTCAAGCATCGCAAGATTGAAGGCTAAATGGAGGGTGTGTGGAGAAAGGGGGTCAGCAAAAACTGCTGAATGCACATGGGTGTGAATGTTTGTCCAAAACAGGGGACCACCAGCGTGCGCAAGTTTTATGTTTCTGCATCAATGAAGGGGATCTGCCTGAATGTTCTTTGTCTATGTGCGCCATAAACTTTCATTCCCAACCAATGGGTAGACTGGTCTTTTTTCCTTCTTCCAGGGAGACTTTGGGATGGTCTCCCTATTTCAATATACACACCCATATGATCTCCGAGTCATTTTGTGTTTCATTCACTAAATGTCGGCGATCACATTTCCGCCAAGACGCATGGATTGTGGGTTGGTCACAAAACACGTTTATAGAGTCAGGTCAACGTTCTCCCATGTTTCCCTCTGACCCACCACAGTTCCACAACGGTTGTATGTCCAGACTTCTCTGCCACGTCACGAGACTTCTCCCCAACGGCCCGTCCAGCTAAGGCGGTTCAACTCGGCCCTCGGCCCGTCCGTCGCGCTGCCGAGCGGCACTTCCCTCACGCGGAAGGTGTGCGACGTCGCGCTCTGCAGACCGATCACCACGCAGCTGCTCATGTTCCGCAGCGAGGCCTCGGGGCAACCTGGCGGCGGTGTTTTCCCGAATGCGTAGCGAAGGGTTCTCGTTTAACTCTGCGGGTCTGGGGGTAGAGCCTTCGATTCCATCTTGTTTTCTGTTTTTTCCGGGCGTTTTGGGTGAGAGTAGGGGGAGCCAGGCTGTGTTGGTGAGAGAGAGTGGGGCGTTTGGGGTTGGTGGCACCTCAAAAGAACGACCATCCTGCTCAGGTGGGCCTGGCAGCCTGGCAGGAATAAGTTCGTCTCGCGAAGACCGAGAAAAAGCCGAAGGTGGATGTCATGGTCGATGTTGAAATCAAAAGCTTCTCGAATTGCTTGTGGGATGTTTGACGTGACTTCGCCTCCGTGTAACAAGTCTGGCCTGAAATAAATGTTATACATTGATTTTTTATGTATGTTGACACCAACAGCCTTTCTGACTTACTATTCTTACCTTGGGTGAGAAAAAGCCCGATCGCCCAAAGGCCGGTTCCGACCGGTTCCTTTCGAACGGACGTAGGGGGGCGCCCAGCCATGCCCGACAGAAGAGACCCGCCATGGAACCTGAAAACCACTCCCGGTGGTAAAGGAGTTTCGTCTTCCAAACTTCCACTGAACCAGGCGTGAATCGTTTTCCTTCGTCTCTCGACACCGGCGAAAAAATGAAAGATAGAATACGGCCAGACACAACACCGTGTTTGCAGCAAGCGCTTCTGTTTTTCGCATGCGCCCCATCTTTCTCTCATGAATTTGGGGACGTCCTCTGTCACCGTTCTTCATCCGTTGTTTGCGAAAAAAGACGGAACCGCTCGCCTGCAGCAGGCCCATATGTGGCCTGGTTCTCCGGCTGCACCTGCACCTGCCGTCGCATGAAGAATGGTATGCCTGGGGTATATCCCACCAGACACCCTGGGCCCAGTGGATGATGATGGTTAGGATTATAGATTATAAGAGGATGTCCAATTCAAATCAGAGAGGGCATTGTATATTCAAAAGAAACCTTTCCATCTCTAAAATAGTTGATCAGACTTGACCGTCTCAGGTTTACTGGGAGTGTCCCACCCCAGGTATGCGCATCAGAAGCTCCATGGAGAAGGCCCTGGAGGCGTAGCCCTCGGGACGCCCACCATAGATCTGGATCCAGAGGGTTTGGCCCTCGGTTTCCGGGGTCCTTTTTTGGTCGGAACAGTCCAACCTACACTGAAGTCATTGAAATAGGAAGCTACTATAGTCTAGTAGATATATTTGCTTTTTGCTTCTGGTAGCAATGCACTTGTTACCGATGCACTTCTTACTAGAGTAGGGAGGAAAGAACAAAAACACATGACCCACTGGCGAGACCACGAACGATGCTGTCGGAGGGATACGTGGGCCATCCTCAAAATCATTCGCCTGGTGTAGAAGATGAACCCGAAGAAAAGGGAACTGTTTGCTATGTGTGCTTTCTTTGAGATGTCCCCATGTTCTACTCCAGCATGACGTCTGGGAATGGATGGAAATGGGGTTCCTTCATAGAATCCAGGTGTCGGACATCTTTTTTTCTCTTTCTACTCTGAGTAACAGGGTGGGTGGGGCGAACTCTTCCAATTTCGATGTCCGTGACGCAGATTGCCACGACATCCACCGAAATGAAACAACAACAACTGCCACAACCAAAAAATAATTGAAAGCCGGTGTTTGGGTGTCGGTACAGGATTGTCAGTATCTGGGATTTGGGGGCTTTCAATGGCTTTCATATCTAAGTTATTGGAGAGTTTAGGCGATGTCTATCAAGTAAACCAGCACATTGGATATTACTGACCCTGAACTCCCAACACATGTCACATGTCTCACACTCAAAGGCCTGTGTCAAAAGCTGGAAACACGTCGTGCACTTGAAGCGCCTCCCAGTGAAGAAAACTGCAATTCTCCACCTCCTGTGGGCATCGTCGGGTAGGCAGTAGATTGTGTGGTTTGGGGGAAACCAAAATCCATCGCTCTAACCGACTCTAACCCAAACCAACGTAAAATGTCAACATTCAAGGTAAGGCGGAACGTCCCAGCTCATGACCAGTCTTCTGTTTCAACATGTTCAACACCATCGTTGGGCCAGGGTCCGGCTCCAGGCTCCCACAGCCGCCGTTGCGGCGTCGAGCACCAGAGGTTCAGCAGCCCAAAAGGGTGCTGTTCCTTTGACACAAAAGATCTCATGGACTTCGCAAAAACCTCGTGCTTTAGTCATATGAATATCATGTCCTCAGGTTCACGTATCATTTGTTGTTCTTCGTCCATGAAGTTTCCCTTATACACCAGTAGTTCTCTGGCTTCAATCGAGCCATGTTCTTGCTTCAATCGAGCCACCCGGTTTGGAGTTTCCACGTTCCAAACTCCATCAGCATCCATCAGCAGCCTGCCCCTCCTCGCCCCTTCACCAAGCCTGTCCGGGACTCCATGTCAGACTCACGCTGCTGGCCGTAGCTTCGGAACCCACCACCCAACTGGGCGGCAGGGCCTGGAGGAAACGGACGTCCCCGGCGGACGGTTTCCCAGAGAGGACGTCCTGTGTGGAAGTGGTCGAAGTGGATCTTGGGGAACGGGTCGCACCGGTCCACTGGTGATGTGAAGATCAACGACTCCAAGTTGACTCCAAGAACTTCTGTCTCACAAGAGGAGATTGAAATATAGGAAGAAACTCCACAAATATCACAAACATAGTCCGACTGAACCCGGAAGCCCACATTAAGGCTAGGAACAAAGTGCAGTCAACCAAGGACATTTGGGACTAGAGACCACCCAGGTGGTAGAAGGACCAAACGCCAAACGAAAGGAGCATGGTGCAGCGAGAAAACATGGCCGTGGTTCCAAGGCACAGCACACCAACACCACGAAGTGAACACTGAAGCAAGCGGCAACCTGTTCAACATGTCTACCTAAGAGGTACGGTATCGGTGGCCAGCTGCGCACGAGAGCAAACCAACCTTAGACACCGTTCGCTGTGGTGGTAGAAGCATGTAAAAACTGCTTCCAGTTTCAATCTCACATGTTCAATCAAATAATGCAGGTGCTTGTGAGTCGTTCTCGCGTGACTTGCGGAAACGTACTCTGATGTATCCAGCAGTTCTTGTGCTTCCGCCTGTGGTCGAGGCACAGCTTCGCAAACGATCTGTATTCGAAGTCTGTCGAAGAAATATTTGGGAGAATGAGTTGGGCGCATGAGATTCCCATGAGTTTCCCGGGGGCTGGAGTCAACACTTCCTTGAAAGTCGTGCTCAAGCCAGAAGTGGATCTCCAGGACCAGGACAAGCTCTCGGGATCGCAGGGTCGGGAGGTGTCCAAATGGAAAGTCATGGTGTAGTGCCAACATGAAAGCGAGATGGTGTAGCGGAACAATGGCCGTGGTTCCAACTCAAAGCGCACCATCACCACTAAGTGAACATAACGAAGAGAAGCGGCAACCTCAACGTGTCTACCCAGTCGGTGAGGAGCGGTGCAGGAGCGATTTGCAAACCAAGCTGTATATATACTCACTCAAACCAGCGAACCAACCTTAGACACCGGTGGCTGCGGTGTTAACAGTAGCAACTGCTTCCGACTTCAAATTCACATGCTCAATCGAATCATGCAGGTGCTTGTATGTCGTTCTTGCGTGACTAGCGGAAACCTACGACTCTAGATGATGATGCACGTTGCAGAAATTTGCAGAATGTGTCAATGTGCGTTTGCAAGTAGTGTTCTTGCGCTTTTGTGTAAAAATGCCGAAACCCCCTGGCAGAATCATGGCATTCCCATAGGATTCCTTGGGATTGGACTCAACACTTCCTGGAAAAAGTCGTGCTCAGTGCTCAGATCGTCCTCAACCATTTGAAGAAGTAGATCTCCGGCAGCAAGACGTGCAGATCTGTGGGATTTCTTTCAGGGAAGAGTTCAGAGATGGAAGATCAGCTGTGACAATACTAGTACAGGTCTTTCATGGTCTTTCCGGGATGGGCTTCAGTTGCACAGATACATGGTTCCATGCGGATCAAACCACACGAACAGTTTGGACGATGCATTGGAGAAGAAGACCAACCATGGTTTGGATGTTCGATGTTCAGCCACCACATCCACGCACGAGCGGAGGCGAGTCCCAATGCTTTACATCGTCAGAACGGACCTCACCGACCAGCTGAAGGCACCGGTCGGCCAGGAGGGGTGAAGAGCCGAGGTCCTGTCTTTTTCCTGGTACACAATGGGCGGATGTCTGGGCTTGCAACAAGAAAGATGTCTGGGCTTCTCCATATCCTGGATCTTCCAATTTATGCAACATGTCTCCCTTTTGGCTGGGTTTTATAGATGAAAAGGCAGACATGTTGCACAATTGGAAGATCCAGGATATGGTGTTGAGCAACGACATGAATGATGTTCCCAAAGTGCGCATCAATTCCAAGATTCTTCCGTGACCACCGGTCGACCGGATTCCTGGATGGCGCACGGTTTCCGTCGCGCTCGGCACTAGGGGCACCGGTCACGCAAGCAAGCGAGAGGGGCTGATGCTTGTTGCTGATGCGAAACCCAAATCCAGACCCATTCACCCACGACAGCCCTTTTGAGCTATCCCATTCAAGAACCCAAAATGGAACATGCTGAATAGTTCTGATTTTACTGGCGGAATCTCTCGCGAAAGGCCTGTTAAGCATCCGCTGCACCCGGTTTGTCCGACCGCCGTGCTCCAGTGGAGCGACGGTCGCGTAAGTCTTACCGCAGTGAACAAGGGGACGAGAACGAGAAGAAGATCCACCCGAGAAGGGTATAAAACAAAACACTTCAACATGAAAAACAGAAGAACTGAACACGTGATTAACAACATGATGATCCCATTAGGATCCTGAATAGACTCCAGAATGTGTTCCTTCATGTCTATGTCTTACGGTCCACAAGTAAACACCCATGAAGTGAATGGACGATGTTGTGGTCCAAACAACAACGGATTCGGAAACGAACGGATTCGGTGAACTCCTTAGGCGTCCAATATCAAAGACCTGCTGGTCGGTCTTCCATCTTGCTGCGCCTTCGTCTCTGTACACCGACCACATTCGTGTCTGGTTCTCGCCTCCCGTCCCCCAAAAAGCCACCTGCCTGTGCATGACAGCCCGGCACGTCGGGCGTCGCGAAGCTGGCGAAGCCGCTCTCGCCCGTGCTCTCGCCGCAGAGGCCTGGCCGGAGCGGCGGCACCGAGCGAATGCTCCTTGGGTTCGGCCCTAGGGAGCGGTTCGGCCCTAGGGAGCGGTTCGGCCCTAGGGAGCGGAGAGGAATGAAGTGCTGGAGGTCAAACTCTGGTCATCGCCGTCACCCTGCTTGGCTCTGGTCACAGACTCGGGTCGTCGGACGTCCCCAGTCGTCGGACGCCGCGCGGGGTCGAAGCGACCGCGCCGGCGACAAAGCCTCCAAGCCATGAGGCTTCGAAGGGTCCCACTGACCCCCCACAACGATGTTTTGGAAGCTTCAGGTGATCCGATCCGACCTCCTTCTGGTGGATGGTGTCACCAGTTTTCTTCACTAAAATAGCTTCAGGTGACCTGCAGGTGATCCACACGTACTTCCTGAGTCGCCCCAGGGGGAACTGGCTCTTCCTCCCACCCTCCGGCGGAAGAACGACGTCCCCCGGGGCGCGACACCGCGAACGACGTGACGAACGGAACGTCACCCGGACGCCTGCGAGGCGGAGCTGAAACTGCGTGTCGCACGGCAGACCCGAGAGCTGACACGCCTGCGCCTCGGTGGGTGAAACGGAAACCTGCAGGGCTTCAGGACTTTCGGGATTCCCAAACCATCCATGGGAGAAGATGACGACCGATCGGGCCAGGGGTTGAAAAGGGGTCCATGGACGTACTATAATGTTACTACCAGCACCTTCCAACAGGTCTCCGAAATGGAGGGTTGGGAAGGGCCCTATAACAGGTTTCAATTGGTGACATAAGTATTTCATAAGATGGATTGTCTGGGAGCGAGTGGCATATGGCATGTGGCGGTCATCGTCAACCGGACCCGACCACACAACGACTTCGGTGTGGGGGCTGAGACCGCCGAAGCAGCCGAAGAAAAGCTCCGCGGACAGCGGGGTTTGTGGAGCGGACCTGCCGTGATGAAGGGGGGGCCTGTCGACATGTCCCGCACGGGTAAGAAGAGTGATTGTACTATCCCAGTCCGGAGTGTACATATAGTGGCATACATGGAGTGTCTGTACATGTCTGTGCTATGTTGCACTATTGAAATATGTTTGAATATGTTTGAACCACTGAAGGCGGGACTGGGACACCTGCAGCATGAAACCCCTTAGGTGATTGGATGTGATGGGTGTTTCCCTTTGGTCGTATGTGACCCCCAGAAGAGTCGCGACCGTGCACGCCTTTGCTTCAGAACCCACACACAAACTCACCAGAATGCTGGGCACCGCCTGAAAAATGTGATTTGGTCTGAATTCATCGCACTTTCGGGTTGCTCCCTGGCTAGCCCTATTTCGAACCCATGATCCCAACCTCCAACATATATACCGAACTTGAACCGCCAACCAGGATGACGCTTCCAGCATCTTCCTACAACCCGAACTGACTGGTGCTTAGTAGGGAATGAGGGAAGTTGAGCCCCCAATAGAGATTCCTTTGGATCCAGCCACCCTCATTCCCTGCTTTCGTCGCACCAGTCAGCAAAAAAGAATATCAAGCAAGCGGTCAAAACATGATCATGTGATCACGTTGATTCGGACGAGCGTCCAATGACCGTTCGTGATCCGTTGGGGGATCACGAAGCCGTCACGGATCAAGGATCAAACGGTTGAGTCGAAAACGCTGCAAAAGCTCGTGTTTGGAAGGCTTGCAACCCTGGGCTTCACGGTGGTTTTGCTGGGGAGCAGAATCAACAGATTCAACAGCCTGGCCTGATGTCTTCAAAAGACACATTGGTGATTCATTCAAACGGTCTTTGATATTGATCAGGAAAGCCGGATTCAAAGGTCAACCAGCAAGGCAAGCATCAAACGCCACAAAATCATACGAAATCTCCAACCAAACCATCCCCTTTTTGTGATCAGAAACGTTTGAAGACGCCGAAGAAAAAAGAATAACGCCTCAGCCGAGCCTATGTTGGTGCCAAGTGCCGCACCGACAACACGCTGAAGGACCCGTCCGGTTCCGCCACGCGCGCTGCCAAGCATCACTCGGGCTCGAGAAGCTGCAAGCTTCAGATGGCTGCCATCCCTTAGAGTACTGCAGTGCGCTGGCGCAGTACTGCAGTGCGCCAGCGCAGCTGCCATTACAGTCAGTAGCGGATTCCTCATCCTCTCCGCCGCTCTCGCCTCTCGCTCCCCAAAAACATCAAGGGCGGCCCATTCTCGTTACTCCAGGACGACCTCGACGGCTACTCCCACAACAACATACAACAACGACATGAAAGCGAAAACGACGACCTCGTTGTGGCTCCACTCCCACGACTTCGTTGATCGCTGCGTTGCCCTTGTTTAACCCCTCTGACCGTTGAGAACTGTTTTTTGCTAAGAAGAATGACCTAGCTAGCTCTCTAGGAGCCCCTCTGACCGTTGAATGGTTGTTCCTCGCTCCGTATACAGCACTTGTTGATCTAGTACTGGATGAAGAAGTCAGGATGTTTCGAGCCAAATCCCATTCACGGCCTCCAAAACCTAGGCCCCTTGTTTTGGTGGATTGGCAGACTCTGAAGTCGTCGACTTGGCCGCCCGTCCCGTGCGCCGTTTTCACCCGCGCCGATGCCCGACCGAGCCACCGTGGCGTCGGTGTACAACTCCAGTTGCCACCGCTGGAAATCGCAGTCCTTAGGAACGAGCGTCATCGGTCCGGTCCATCGCATCCTCGCATCGAGGCTCTTCGAAGGCGGCGGAGTGGCAGAGTGGCTCTTCAAGTCTACAAGTAGCAGAGTCGAGCACGAGTCTCTTGACCATATGAACATGATCTCAGAAGTGGGGTACCATTGTACCAGCCAAATCGAAGCCCTTTTTTGAGCATCCCAGTGACTTACACTCACTGGAATTAACATGTAAGTGGATGGCACCAGTGGATGGCACCCCCTGTTTGTAGAGGAAAAAATGGTCTTGCAAGGGGTCATGCCATCCACTTCCATGTTAGTTCTAGGGAGCGGTGCTGATGCTCCGAGTTGCTCTTCGGACCACATGGAACCCCAAAACCACTGGTTGGTGGAGGACAACCATCTTCCAGGGGGGCTATTGTCAGGGTTCATGTTCTTTATCGGAAGTGGACAAACTTGTTCAAATTTGTGTCAAGAGCACATTCATATAGTACGATGTATATATAAGTATGTACATACAGCGTAGCAGTGTAGAAAAAAAAAGACACTGGTACTCACCAGCTACTCCAGCTACTCCAGCCTCCCAGCACATACTCCGTGTTGACTCGTCCTCCGTACTCCACCTGTTGAGTCCTCATCCGTTCACATCCCTGGACCAGTCATGTCTCCATGTGTGACCATGTCGTCAGCTTTCCTGGACACTCACGGATACTCCGCCGAACCCGAGCCCCCACGCACCCACCACGACTCCGGGCGTCGTGCAGCTGCCCCGAGCTCCAGGACACGAAGACCTCCGTGGCGCTGCTCGACGCGGCCACCAAGACCTGCGGACCATCCGCTTCGAAAGCAGGGGCACCCGAGGGTTGCCGCGAGGGTTGAAGCGAGGAGAAGGTTAGTTCTAGGCGGGCACGGCCAGCCAAAACACCTTTTGAGGGGGGTGGCTGTTTTTGATGTGTTTCGTGTTTTTACCGGTCTTTCCTTTCAAGGCAGAGCCGCCTGCTTCTTCGGCCACACATCGTGGCGCCTGTGGGAGGAAAGAACTCCACAGATTGTTTCGATCAGAAAGGGTCCCGAGAGGAAAGCCGGACCCTGGGTGCGTCTCAGTGTCCGTTTTCGGGAGTGTGCCTCTTTGATGGCAGTTTATGGCATGGTTGAATCCAAGGCAGAGCCTGCTATAGGCTGCTAGGCCCTTCTGCCTGTCATGGGATGGTACACCTGACCAGGACAAAGGTTTTTAGACTCCTTCGGGAACCCAGTTCCATCTTGCGCAGATCAAATACACCCCCTCCCAAGCATCCGCTTCTCTCCACGACTCACTCCATATGAAGCTCCACCCTCTCCCGTCGTCGAACACGCTTCCTTCGCCCCGCAGTTCCGGCGTCACGTTCTGCGGCCGGGCGGCGTTCTCCGGAGCGCCCATGAGCCGGTCCGGCATGGCCACCTGGTGGAAGGAGCCCGGCGGGCGGAAGCGACAGCGTCCGAAAAGGCTCTGTTCCGTAGCGATGCCAGGAGCCCCGTGTAGTAGCGAACCTGGTTCCTAGACAGGGCAGTGAAAGACGTAAGAAACAGGTGTTGCTCACCAGATTGGTCATCCAAACACGCGACTTCTATTCAAATATGGTCAAATGACCTGGCTTTACTGCGTCATAGAGTCATATAGACCTATGAATCTGGACTCCCCCTGATGTTTTTTGTTGAGAAAGTCCCAGGGAAATGTTGATCATAAAAATCATGAACCAAACGAAACCCCAAACATTCCCTTTTCATCCGTTTCCGCTCACCGCCTCGTCCTGGCCTACAAACACACGCGGTGCATGACTGTCATGCGCCAATTCATATTATCCTGACAAACTCCATTCAAGACAGTAACAGCTACTAACATGTCATCCATTCATCCATTCAAGACAGTAACTCTATTCCTCCGTTCCTTACTTCATGTCATCCTTCCTTAGCCTGCAACAGCTACTCCTCAGTTAATCGTGCCCTACCCATCCACTTCCGTCAGAGCCTCAGCCACTGCGAAGCCGCTGTTCGCCACGGTTCGCACGCACAGCACTTGCGCGCGGAAGCGCACCAGGGAGCGGCTAGGAAGACCTGTGACCTGGCTGAAGGAGGCTAAAACTGAGCAAAACGGGTGTTTTTCGGTGTCTTGGTCAGGGCTCGAAAAGGAGGTGTCATCCCTGGGTTCCAAAGCACTTCAAGCAAGCTTGAGCATGAGGTCACATCTCTGAAGTTTCACCCCACCCCAAAAAAAAGATGCAAAGTCGGTCAGTCTAGGGCCTAGGGGATCTCAAGGTCCTTCTTTACGTCTGCCGATCTTTGAAGCTTCTCAGTGGCTCAGTGGACCTTTGGAGAGGCAAGTGGAGGGTCTTCGACAAGGAGAAAGGGAGGCCCTGAAGAACTTTCCAAGGCTTCTTCCATGTTTGTTTGAGTCGTCATACAGAGTCTAAGTCTTACTCTCCTCCATTCAGTCTCCAGTGGGTGCATTCGGAACATCAGGACTCAACGAACATGTGGCACCACATGGGTGCAGTCTGAACGGAAGGTGGAATGTTTACTCACTGGGAATTGCCAAAAGAATGCTGAAGTACGGTTTTTCACCCCGCCTGGCAGCCCAAGACGCAGCTACTCGACAGCTCCGCCTGGCGAAATACCAGGTGTGTAAAGACGGGAGAGGAGCTGCGCCCATGTAGGCATGGTCAGGCAAGCAGGTTCTGCAATTGAACAGCTCTTCTTGATCTGACTTCTATGTGTCGCTTTGTCATGTTCTGTCAGTAGTGTTCAAAGGGGTGGACATTTGCGTTTGCGGGACCTTTTCGGAAGACCTAAGAACACATACCCCCTCCCCTCCCCAGTGTTGGGTCTCCCTCTCCTCTCACAGCCAGCCCAACTGTGTCACTCTGCCTGGCAGATGTCCTGCCACGTGCCGTTTTGGAGAGACCACCTGCAGGACACGTCCGGCGACGCCGACCCAGCAGGGTGGGGAGGGAGCGTGGCACCCGTGGAGACGAGTATAGAGTAGGATGAAACAGTCCAACAGAGGTTGAAGGACCTTATAGACTACAGTATCCCATAGGTACCCCAGTAAGGTCCTATTTATGGTCACTGAACCTCTCTTGGTTGACATGGTGGGGGAAGAGACTCTCTTCCTGATCCAGAGGTGTGTCTCTTCTCCACCGAAGGACGACGATGCGATCCAGGCAAGGAAATCCAAACAGTTCATCGGTATGTTGATGCAGGATGACATCAGGATGAGGATTGACATCAAGTGTTGCTCAATTACCAGGACTGGAAAGAGAACTTTTCAGAACCCCTAGTGAATCCACACACCACATGATACTACTGAGGATGCATGCATTTACATTGTACATTAAGAATGAGGGCTGAAACAAGGAAAGAATCACCCAACCAGTTTTGAAGTGATCACCTTGCAACATGCACCTCATCTCATGGAAAAAACTAAAATACACTCCCCATTTATGCCAGCGAGGCTACGCCTTTCTTACAAGGTTGGTGCCTTCATGCACCACTTCTACCCCCAAGCACAGCTCCACCACCGCCCAGGCAACTGCGGATTCACCCCGTGTGCTGCAAAGTAGCTGGATCTGGTACCGCGAGAAGACGCCTGTTCGAAGCAAGGTCTTCCGAAGGGGGAGGAAAAACAGAGCGATCTCGAACCGCCTGTTTTCTCAGCCGTTCGCCTATTCGAAGCCCATCCTGGTGGGTTTGCTGTCGCTTCCAATGCGAGACACGACCAGCACAGGGACCGGACCGCCTTAAAAGACCACAGAAGTATCGAGCGAACGAAGATCTAAGCCAAGCCATGCGTTTTCGATCCATAGATCCATCGGCAAACAGGTAGACGGTAGACATTATACTTGCAGTAGCATACAATAGCATGATTGGACAAAGATGGTGTTCATTTCATCTATCCGGGTTCCAAAAAGAGGTGCAGTAAACCATCAAGACCCTTTTTCAAATGCACTTCGAAAGCTACTCCAAACCTCGCTCGGTCTTCTTCCATTTTGAGTGCCCGGACAATCATTCAACAACGGCTGCGCCCAAGACAGCTGCACGGTGTCATAGGAGACCACCGAGGCATTCAGGCCTGGCGAGGAGTTGGGCGGCGAGTCTTCTCGGGATTCTTCGGGACTGGCTGAGGAGGTGACCAGGACGCTCGAACATCCGGGAGACATGTGTCCACACCGTTGTTCCGTTCTTCCGTGAATGCCTTCGATGAGGGGCCGGGATCGTGATCTGTTCTGCTCGGTCCGTAGCGAATGTAGCGAATGCGCCCGGTCGGTCGTCGCCGACCCGAAGCAATCCAAAAGCATCAGGTCATAGAGATCCTGCCCTAAGGATCCGCACCCCCCAAAACACAGGTTTGGTTCGGGACCCCAAACCCTTGTTATAGAGGGATATAGAGGGTTCGACCCCTTGTTATAGGAGGGTCTGTTCGGATCCTTAGGGTGGAAGATTAACATGAAACCTGATGGAATTGACCTGGCTGGAAGACGGTTTTCCTCTACAGCCCAGTGGTTTGAAAAGAAGGTCTCATGTCTGGGGTCAAACAGGGATTTCACAACTCGACGTTGAAGCAAACAGTGAGATCATGCGACCATGACCTAGATACGTTTTGAGGATTTTGTGAAACCCATGACCATCCTTTTCTCAACCGCCATTTGGCGGCCGTAATCTTTAATTCATCATGATTTCTCTCTCCCATGATTCACTAAACCGTGGCGTATCCCCTCACTTTCCCCCACGGACTGAGCTTCTCCAAAGGCCCAAACGTGGGTTGCTCACACCGAGAAGCAGCGTACTCTGACTCGGAGAACCGTGATCTCACGGTGTCTTGCGAACGGGACAGCTCTGACAGCTCTTCTGGTCATGTTGAGGTGCTCTTCAGACCACTTAGAGACTAACATGCTTGGGGGGCCGTAACGCTCCGAATCAGGGCGCTTGCGCCAACGACCATCCTCGAGAATGAACGGACTCCAAGACCCCTTCGAGCAATGCAATCAAAAGTCTATTCAGCAGTTTTGCTCGCAGTAATACCATGCTACCCAAGATTCCTGTTCAGGAATGTACTAAGGTACAAAGACCCTACCGTGCAGTTCTTCGACGTGCTTTTGTTCGAGGGCCACGCTAGAGACTCCGATTTTGAAGCGTTTGGATGACAGCCTATTTAGTACTATAGGATTACACTTGACTTGCTTAACCCGACATCTACCGACCCCACCTATCCGATCTCACAAAAACTCACTCTTTTTAAGTCACTTGGTGGATGATGGTTGTTGAGTGCGCTGATTCATTGGATACGATACAGCTCACAGAATCTCCCTTCTTGGAACGGGTGCTTTTGACCCCAACGAACGCCAGAACCCGCAGGGCTCCATTTTTGACCCCAGGGCATGTTGCCCGCACAACGAGCAAAAGCCGAAAAGCCTTCCAAACTGGCATGTCCTTCCCCCTCAGAACAAACCAAAAAGGATGGTCTTTTACTGGGCGCCCCCGTCTCCAAAGCGCCGCCAGGATCCGCGTGGCGGCACGTCGCGGCACCCCACCTCATGGTCCCCGCGCGGAACGACGGAACGACGGACGCGCCGTGGTGGTCGGCCTGGCACCTCGGCGGAGAGCACGTGGGTGCTGGCCGAGGCGACGTTGCTCCAGTCCTCGCGTTCGAGGCACAACGTGGGCGAACGCGGGCGAACGCGGTGGCTTTTCTGCTGCTGGGGAGAGGCGAAGAAGAATCCACACGTGGGCCGGAAATGGAAGAATTCCTTGGGGGCTGAGCCAGGTGGTGTTTTTCAAGAGCAGGAGGATCAGGTCTTTGTTGGAGGAAACATCACCAGGATTCCAGGAATCTCGCTGTCTCGTTGGATCGATCTGTGTTTCTATCCCGTTCAGTTCAGTCGAAGAACAGCCAAAAGTTTCACCCTGCACCAGGAAAACTGGAGAAACATAAATCAATCAAAGAAGTTTGGGTGTCCAGGAGTCCCACGTCGGCTTGGTGAGTCCCAGCCCGTGACTGGGGCGCCCCGAGCTCTGTCTGCTGGGGCTGTTGCTTTCCGAAGCACCAATATGAGATAGACCAGCAGTCACAAGGTTAGGGGTGCGATCCATGGAGGAAGACGGGGTGCCCAGCTACTCCACTCACTTGGAGGTTATCCACACCACCCATCAATCATTCAGATCCAGCTTTTCACCCAGCAATGTCGCGTGACTTCGGGGGCGGACCTCCCCCCCTCACCTGCGTGAGTCGGAGACGACATCCAAAAGACTAAAGGCGGTCGGTCTGCCGGTCTGCGAAAAAAATCCATGACCCAGACGCTCATAGACCCTTCTAAGTAGGAGCCGGAGCCTCATACGGTCTAGGCTCCCAAATCAGGCCTTGAGGGACCGGTTGTGAGGCCTGTGAACACTTGGAGCGTTTGGGGTCATAAAAATTACAGTACATCCCAGCTGGCCCACATCAGCAGGCGCGTTGATATCGACGGTCGCCCAACACAGCCAAGAATCCGAGTTCGTGCTGGAGATGCTGCAGTTCTCCCTGATCCTCCCGTCATCGATAGATCGGGGCGACGAGAGATAGATCCGGGCGAAGATGCTTGATCTTTGGGGAAAAGGACAATAACTGTTCGTCTATATCGTTGCCCTTCTTGCTACGTGCAGTAGGGAAGCTTAAGGTTGTTACCAGCACAAAGATGAAAAACTTTTGTCCAGTTTGAGTGACACTCCCACCCAACATGTTGCATCCCTCAAACACAGGCAATTGCCCAAGCTGGCCTGATCTCATAGGTCGTGTCAGACTGCAATCCACCAGCCGTGCAGCTGGAGTTCTCTCGAGCACCACCACCCTCACAGCCTCCCAAGACTGGGGTTGAGTTGGAAAGGGCTGTGTTGGCTGATCTCACTGGGTCAACTGCCCCTTCTGCCGGAAGTTCTTCAAGGATGAGAAGTAGCAGCAGCATAGCTCAGACGATGAAGACTGATGGCCCGAATCTTTTTTGGAAATTCAAGACCTTCTCAGGTGGGGGATGTAGAGAATTAGCCCCATTCGTCCTTGGAGGAGGGCTCTTCCGTTCCTTGTTGGGGTGGAAATCTCTATTGACTCTATTGGATACTTCAACAGAATCCACCAGTTGAGGAGCATACAACCTACAGTCCTGTGAGGAGTAGGTGTCAAAGTTCAACCGATGGGTCTTCCCAACATGAAGGCCCTCCGATTGGTCAACAGTCTTCTTGGTGAATTTTGCAGGATTGTAAAGACTCAACATGTTCCTGTAATGTCTGGAAAAGGCCAAAGCATGTTGCATCAACCTTTTGTGTGCTTTACAGTCCACACCCTAGCTCATCCTCTTATCTGCAGGGGTGGGGTAGTGGCGCCTGTCCAAAACCAACCTTGCCTCCACTGTCCTGTCTCGCCCGCTCGCTGGCCCGCGATTACGGCGCGATCGGAGCGCTCGCGATATCTCGCGCGCGCGCGCTCCGCGAGCGGCTCGCCTTGGCTCTGCCACTCGGCCGCCCCCTGGACACGAAGATTCAACTCCCAGGAGAAGAAGCTGCAGTCCATCGGCTCGGCGCCTCACCGGCGAACGATCGCGAGCTCCGCGGTCCGCGAGGGAGGGAAGAGCACGATCGAAGAAAGAACAGATTCTGTGGATGAAGGTCCCAACAGATCCCAACTACATACTTTATCATGCCTTTATAGTCATGTCACATGTCTGTAGTCAGTCTAGTCCAGTCTTCAAACACTGTGGAGCGAAAAGCATTCCCCTCACCCCCGCCTCACCCCTCCGCGCTCCTCCGCCACCGCGTGACGTGCCCGCGCGCGGCCTGGATGCCACTGGAGCTGCAAGGAGCTGCCCGGGGCACCGGGCGTGGCGTTGAGACCGCTCGGCGTGGCTGCCGGGCGGAGGCACACGTCGCCTGGCCGGGCGGACGGCTGTGACCAGTGCGCCTGGTCTTTGGTGAATGGGAGCAGTTGGATGCGGTTGGTACCAGAAAGTGTTCCATCAGGTGATCATCTTTTTTTTTGTACCAAGCTGAAAATTCAGGTGATGGTTGACCACCCCAAAAATGACCAGCTGAAACTGAAGTATATCATCAGGGGTCTATGCTGGCATCATTCTTGTTCATGAACTCTTACGGGTCGTGGGACAAAAAAAAACTGATGTTCACTCCTTTGGGACCAGGTCAGCCACCCTTTTCCGGTGAGGACAGGGGTGGGGCAGGGGGTGTCTCGACCAGGAGCTGCTCCGGACCCCTGGAGTGTCTGGAGTGTCTTTGATGGTTCCGATGGCTCTGGACAGCGAACGCGCTGGTTCTCGGTGAACCCCGGATCACAAGATAGCCTATAGCTATAGAAATCATCCGAAATCCGTCTCAGTCTCATGTCCACCGCGCCACAGCGCTGGCGCGCTCGCGCTTTCTGTGGAGCCCCCCCGAAACCCAACTGACCGAGACTGCCTGTTTCCGTCCTGAAGCTGCTGGTGCGGAACTCACCCACAAGTTCAGGTTCCTGGCGAACCCCGAGCCGCGAACTCCGCAACGAAGGAGACGAGTGAGGGAAGGAGTTCGGGCCAGGAAGGAGGTGTGTTAGTGTGGCTTAAGGACACGGCATCCTCAGATGTTGCTTTAGCAGCTTCTTAAATCGCTTGACTGTCGATGGACATAGATGGATACGAAGTACAATGGCACAACGGCCACAAATGGACGGGAGGATGCCACGCATGGAAAAGTCGTTCGCGCCTTTCATGTCAGTCATCCGCCAGGCTCGTGTTTCAACTGCTTTATCGGTCTCCGAGGGTTACTCCGGAGTCCCGCACGTTTCGACCCCCGGCGACCTGGCAGATGGCGGCTACGCGGACGTTGTAGTCGGTGTCGCACTGCAAGCCTTGAATCAGACCTCGGTTTTGGGGGCGGAGGCTGGCCAGAGTTTACGGCGGGCTCGTCATCCCAGAGGGGGGGAGATTGGCAGGGATGTTCTGCTCCCTCCGCTACATCCGAAGCCACGAGGGGGTTGAAGCAATATCTCTAATATGTATACTGGCCTTCGTGGTGAACTCACGTAGATAATAGATATAATATGTGTATGTGTGTATATATATATATATATTATAGACGTGATGTAGAAGCAAGCCAGGAGACCTACAACAGGATATGGTTGAAGAGGACATACTTCAGGAGGAGCATGGGCAAGCTGAGTACAACGGCAGGTGAATTGTCGGACGGGGTCTCACCGATCATACAACCAATGGGCGAATGTTCATGATATAAATGCCTTTCTGGAGTCATCTACCCATCGTTGAGTCATTCAACCTCCCATGAACATGATTTCTGAGGGCTGCGAGGATTCTCCTGCGTTCCAACAGAGAGAACCCATTTCCAGAAGACGGTCAACAACATACCACCGTCCTGTCTGGGTGTCGCTCGAGATCCCGGATAGTGTAGGGTAGTTCACACCCAGACAGGATGGTCTCGGATGGTCTCGGATGGTCTCGGTAGGTTGCAGTAGTTCCAACTGGTTCACGTCTGGCAAGCCACACTCCGAAGCGCTCTGCTGCAGGCAGCTCTCCACAGAGTTCCAAACTCCAGTGCCTTCCTCCTGGATCTGCACCAGCCAACTTTGGAACGTGCAGTCAGGGCCCAAGTTCAAACTCTCCTGCACGGTGTCGCATTTGGTTCGAACATGCAGAAGGCAAAGAGGTGATGAAGGTGCTGAGGCCGTGGGTGATTGTGAAACTAAGGTGGACACCAATTTTGATCCAGTGTCGGTGCCACGACTTCTCATGCGAGTCCAGGCCGTGTGATACACCGTTGGACAATGAATGAAACACCCTACGACTCTATGCCGCATATGCCTAGGCCTAGGCTCCTTCCCATGCTGCATCCAAACATATACACACAAAATAAGCAAACTAAAACAAAGCCACCGCCAGGAGTGGAGCCTGTGGCTTGACTCAAACACAGGATCCAAACACCAAAAAGGCATCCCAGAAGACCGCACCATGCAGGGACCGGTTGGACCGCCGGTCTTCGCCGGTTTCGCCGCGTGTCATCTCGGTTTCGTTGGTTCGGTCGGGCTCCAGAGGGGTCCAGCTGTACAAGACCTCGGTCACGAGGAGCACCGCCGGAGGCATCAAGACCTCGGCCGACCGCGCCGGCGTCGAGCGGGTAGACCGACCGGGTAGACCGACCTCTCGGTGCTCCACCGGAGGGACGAAGCGGCAGGCGAAGCGGCAGGCGACACGAGAGCGAGCAGCTAGCAGCTAGAAGCGCAGCAATAAGAAGCTATAAGCTAAGCTAAGAGAGATGGTGGAAGATGATGGAAGAAAAAGGGCTGCTTGGCAACAAGTTGGTCTTTGGGTGTCCCAAGAGATTTAAAAAAGTTGTCTTCAAGACATGTCGAGGGGAACATTTACTTTTGGAATACAATTTGAGCAGCCCTTTTTACACGAAGCCTCTCAAACCGCCTTTTGACCTGTCGGAGCTGTGCGAGAGGAAAGCACGAGCAAACATCTGCGATCGACGCCGCGGAACTCTGGAGTCGCCCATTGAGGGTACGTCGTACGTATAGCAAGAAGCGAACCTTCACGTAACAAGTGCATCGCTACGAACGTAACAAGTGCATTACTATATACATCTATATATATATATATACTAGTAACAACAAGCTGTTGTGTCTTTTCCGGAATCGATCTCGATCCCGTGGGTCGAAGAAGATGCCGCGAGGCCTGGACGCGTTCACGGTCGTTGTCTGGGTCTCTCGGTTTGGTTTCGTCGTGCAAGAATGGAATTTCTCGGCTTTGGGGGCTGAAAAAGGATGAAGGCTTTTCTCAACTCCGGAAAGAGTGTCTTTTCAATGAGGAACTCCTCCAACCTAAGACATGTGTTCCAAGCTCTTCTATTTCCAGGTTCACAGGGCGCGCCCCGCCCTGCTCTTGAGGAAATCCGCTCCGTCAAGCTCGCCAGGGCAATGAACTCTAAGAAGAACACATGAGAGAGTGGGACAAACCCTCATGTTCTTCAATCCAACCCCATATCTCTTTGTTCCTTTTGAGGTCATCAACCTGGAAGGACCAAACCTCATTCTAGAACCCTCGCAAGGTCATTTGCTGCACTGACATAAGGAACCCTTGAGACATCATCCCCTCCACCCGGCACTTGATCGATTTGTCTTGGATTGCAACGGTCGAGAGGCCCCGAAATGATCGTAGAATTCTGATGCTTGGATGGGTTTTTTCCAAGTGGGGATCGCCCAAGTTTAGTGGACTGCTGTTTCTCTCTCTCGCTCTCTCTCTCTCTCTCTCTCTCGCTCTCTCTCTCTCTCTCTCTCTCTCTCTCTGGAATCCACTCTGTTAAAACCAACATAGACAGAAATCACCGATGCACCTCAGTCTTCCAAATACCAAAACCCGTCGGCTTTGACTGAAAGTCTATAGTCTACAGTGTGCATCCCTGCCTGTGCAGACACAACTGCCGTCCATTAGCGCACCCCTTGTCAAATCTCAAGTGTCCTTTAAAGCAAGTCTTTACTAAAATACTAGTCTTAGTCTTACATAGATAAGTCTCCGAGGATATAATCCAATGTACCTCAAAATCATGGCGCTCCGTCGCCCACATCAAATCTACTCTGGTCGCAAAAACCACCAGGGACACGTCCGACCCATCGTGTTCCCGATCGAACGACGTCAACGTGTCGAGTCGACGTCCACCGCGGCCGTCCAAGGCACCGGGGCGCTGGGCGGCTGCCGCCCCGTGGCGATGGCCTCGCTGGACTCCACCCAGTCGGTGTAGACCTCCTTCACCGGGGAGCAGGCGTGAGAGGCGGTGGGTCTGTGAGGGCGCCCGGTGGCGCGAAGTAGGCTGTGGTGGGCTGTGGGAGCTGGGGATTGGTAGTTCGGTGCCGGAATCAAGTCATGCCCGAAGCCATGACTTGGGGTTCATCCCTGGGGTTGCGCGCATGCTCACAGGGCCAGTCCCCCGTGCAAAGTCTTTTTTACACGTCGTGAAGACGCACATTCTGTGCCAGCACCGGCACTGGCACCCAAATCACCAGCTCGACACCAACCTTGAACCAGCTCCAAAGCTCCTCAGCACAGTTCCGGGAACCCCCACGCATCACCTCACTGGCGGTCCTGCTCGCTGGCGCCCAGGAGGAGGCACTTCACCCGCGCCCGCACGCGCACGAAGCTGAGCGAGGGCAAGGCCTGGGCCTCGGGCGTGCGACGGTGGCGCTTGGAGGCCCTGCTGGACCTGGGTGCGGGACTTCCTTCAAACACTGTTCCATTGGAGAAGGGCCCGGATTCTATTTCACCCGGACGCTCCAAACAGCTCTTGGTCCCTCAAACGCTCAGGGTCCGTCGCGTCTGGCTCAAGAGTGCTGAAAACGGTCGACCCTCACTGCGTCACCAGTTGAGACCTTTTAGGGTTACCTTCTATAGGGGGAGACCTGGAGGGTGCTGGGAGGTTGTTTGCATTTGGCAAACGAGGTTGGGAGCAGTATGAAGATCTGCCAAGTAACACAAGCAAACACCCAAAACAAGAAAAATAACCATTGAATAAGTGGACATACCCCCCAGAGTGTCCGGTTCCCTTTTGTTGAAGAGTCTAACCGCTTCTTCCAACTGCCGGTCTCGCGCTCGGTGATGAACGCCGCCGCACGCAGCTCTTTTTTGCGCAGCGCTGCGCGGCCCGGCGTGAAGCAAAAAGGCAGGCGCCTTGACTCTGCAGCTTTGGATGTCCGATATCTAAGAAAAAGAGAGTGTCTAAGCGCATTGGGCGTGGCAGAAAAAAAAGATCTCAGAAGAGAGTGGCGGATTCAGGGGCGTTTTGAGAACCCCCCATGCTTTGCTTTCAGAGGGTGCTTTCAGCTCATACAGTTCCGCTCGACCCTTCTTTCTGGCATTCCATTTTGTTGAGTGCCGATGTAAGTTTGCGCTTCTTCTCCTAGCCAAACACCAACCCCAATGTTGCATCCTTTGTGAGGAAGAGACACAGAAGAAAATTAAGAAACAAGCTCCCAATTCGAGTGATCACACCGGCACCAGTCCATACATCTTCTGCCACACACAGTGCTCCACCTGATTCCGACGCATTCCGCGTGTCGCGAGCCGGGCAGTGTCGATTCAATCGGCATCTGCCCGGGGATTCGCCCGTTCCGCGAATTGCGCGATACATGGCCGTACGGCCGCAGGAGATTTGGTGTATCTGTGGGTGGCCAGGGTGCTTCTCGTCTAAGGCTCTCAAGTACTTCTCTGGGCCGTGGATTTCACGGAGGTTCAGTTTGTGGGAGCTGCCAGCGGACACCGACGATGTGTGTTTGCTGGAGAGGCCACAAGGAAGAGGTCAAAAACAGAACTAAAACATCTGGAATGACCTCTCCATGGTGGAAGACTTTGCTACCAGCACCCCCCAAAGTTCTTGTCCATTGTTTCTCCACCCTACAAGTCGAAAACTGGGAACTGATGTCTCTACTTCAGCATGTTCTATCTTCCAAGCATTCACTCTTCTGTTCCCAACGGGCTGTCCGTTCACGTATATACGGCATACGATGAGGCTGTCCGTCCCACGTCTCTTGTAGTGAACTTCCACCGGGGCATGAGTCGACGGTAAACGACGCACTGGAATGCAACTCTTCGTGTTCAGGATACACTCCCGAAAACTAACATAGACCCTGACAATGGTAACCTGGAAG